AGTGCACCCTCTATCAGGGGCTGGAATTAAAGAGGCAGTGCACCCTCCATAAGGGGCTGGAATTAAAGAGGCAGTGCACCATCCATCAGGGGCTGGAATTAAAGAGACAGTGCACCCTCCACCAGGGGCTGGAATTAAAGTGACAGTGTGCTTTCTAATTGGGAATTGGAATTAATGTGGAAGTTCTCCCAGGCGTCTGGAAATGAAGCGACACTATATTCCACCCTGGGCTGGAATTAAAGTAACATTACACCTGAAGAAAATAACTCATTCCCACTGACTAAGATTGAGGTAGACTTGCATAAAAATAACAAATAATCTATTTTCTGCTCGTTGGAAAATGGAAAATAGTTGTTGCCTTAAAAAAATTAATCTTAATGCTATAAGGCAAAACATGGTGCATATTAAAAATTGTAAACAGAATATAAATCCTTATTCCACATAAATTGATATTTTAAAAATCTCAAGGAACTGATCACCTTCAAAAGGCTGTTTCATAAAGCTGGCATCCTGTCTCACTATATGAGCTTATGCAGTTTGTTGACAGGCTATTCCACCATAGGAAGCATCTCAGCAAGATCTGTTCGCGTATGACTTGAATACATTGAATGCCCAACAAGTGGCACTAAGTAGAGATCACCATTGAGAATCTTGGACAAAAACAAAGTTGCTGGAAAAGTCCAGCAGGTCTGGCAGTATCTGTGAAGGAAAAAACAGAGTTAAAGTTTCGGGTCCGGTGACCCTTCCTCAGAATAGTTCTGAGGAAGGGTCACTGGACCCAAAATGTTAACTGTTTTCTCCTTCACAGATGCTGCCTGACCTAATGAGCTTTTCCAGCAACTTTGTTTTTGTTCCTGATTTACAGCATCCGCAATTCTTTCGGTTTTTATTGTGAATTTTGGGTTATTTTCTCCCATTCCCTGAGCTCTCAAATAGTGCAAATTATACCCCTGGCTGACATTATCTCATTATGAACTAGGGAACCAAACCAACTAAAATCTGTACTGCATTTTTAATAAAGGAACTTTTTAATGCATTATTTCCCATGAAAATAATCAGGAACTTGATTTCTAGTCAGTCTATCTTGCAAGTTTGGATGACTGAAGCATCATTGTGGCTATTGCATTTGTTAAGGCTGCATGGACTGCCTGGGAAATGGAATTATATAAAAGATGGTCCAAATACTGGCTCAGCTGGTAGCAATCTCATGCTATTAGTCATTAGATTTCAGGTTTAAGTCCCACTTCAGGGCACAAACATAAAAACTTGCCCTGATGCTCCAGTGTGCTATTAGAATTAGAATTAGAGTTAGAATTAGGTTTATTATCACATGTACTCGAGTTACAAAAGAATACAGTGAACAGTGTACAATGTCTGTGAACACACTGTACCATCTTAGGTGCAAAGTACCAATGTACAAATCTTAGATACAAAAATACCAATATTAAAGGAAAAATGTTACGCTACATTACAGATATACATAGTATAAGTTAGGAAGATATAAAATAAAGCAAAGATGATAGATATTACACTCTCTCTATAAGGGCTTCCCTGTGTTCTGACCTGGCTCCGCCAGTTCCCAACCAGTAGCCATCTTCGCTCTGGGCCCCCCAGTTCCTGTCCCTGCTCTGCTCCGCACCGCTGGCCCCTGTCCCTGCTTTGCTCCGCGCCATTTGTCCCTGTCCCCGCTCTGCTCCGCGCCATTGGCTCCTGTCCCCGCTCTGCTCCGTGCCATCGGCCCCTGTCCCCGCGTTGCTCCACGCCATCGGCCCCTGTCCTCGCTTTGCTCCGCGCCATTGGCCCCTGTCCCCGCTTTGCTCTGCGCCATTTGTCCCTGTCCCCGCTCTGCTCCGCACCATTGGTCCCTGTCCCCGCTCTGCTCCGTGCCATTGGCCCCGTCCCTGCTTTGC